GTCATGCAGACACATGAACAGAGAGAAGGAAGGGAAGGAGAGAGAAGCAGAGGCAGAGAAAATGGACCGAAGAGTTTGTGATTACAAGACACTGTAAAGGCTGAAAAGAAAAACAAAAGGGCAGAAAAACAGAAACTACCTCCAAATCCTTAACTCTTCTTCTGTGCTTGGAGTCCCACTTCCCAAATAGGGATAGAAGGCTGTGGGAAGGATGATTGTGGTTTTTGGGAAAAAAACAAGTGTCCAGGAGAAACAACAATCATAAAGTTTGAAGTACACACAGATAGTGAAACATCCCACATGGGAGAAAGACATTGTCTGAATCAGACACACACACAGAAAGCAGAAGCACTATGCAGTCTGGGGCATAGTGGAAGCAAGGACATTTTTCTAAGTCCTTTCTTTTCACTGAAAGTCGCTGAAACAAGGCCTTTGATACCAGAGCTGCTGACATGGTGGCATCATCAAGGGTCTCCTGACAGCTCTCTCCTCACCCCTTCAGATGTATTCCTTAGCTAACTGTGCTGGGGAAAGCTGTCTGGCTGCAGGCTCATGGGACGTGAGAGGGTGTGTGTGCTAGGGCTCCCAGGGAAAGGTTTCTTCCTTTGTAAGGGCACATCGTAGAAGAAACTCTTCTTCCTGCTTTTGGGTACAACAGGAAGGAGGAGGATGTGATGTGTGAGACTAGCAATGACAGCCGTCTTGGTACCATGAGGAGCTGAGCTTGAGGATAAGTAGAAAGAGAAAAGGAACCTGAGTTCTCAGTAGTGATTACTTAACCAGGAACTTGTTACTCCTGGCCTTCTTATGTGGGATAATAAATAGCTTTAATGCTTAAACCACTATTAACTGGGTATTTGGTACTTTTAGGCAAAAGCATCTTAAAATTATTCACATAGCATTTGGTGGGCTGATGTGTCAAGAGGGATATCTAAATGGAAAAACCCATAGACAGAAACCAGAAATGGCAATGCTCCAGCTTGGTCTTAATAGGCACCAACCAAATGACAAAAGTAAAAAGCTAAACAACTTTCCCCTCCAGCTTATAGCTCTTTTTTTCAGTGAGACAAGAGACTGAAATGCTCAACTCTGCCACTCTAATTAACACTCATAAGGCATTTGGCCAAGTTTTCCAAGTAGAATCCTCACAGCAAATTTCTATGAAGATATCTACATGTGTGTGTGTGTGTACGTATGTATGTATGTATAATGAGAAAGACTGTATGATCTATAGCAGTGTTAAAAAATATTTTAATTCAGGAACACCTGGGTGGCTCAGTCAGTTAAGCTTCTGATTTCAGCTCAGGTCATGATCATGGTTTGTGAGTTCAAGTCCCACACTGTGCTGACAGCAGAGAGCCCGCTTAGGATCCTGTTTCCCTCTCTCTGTCCCTCCCCAGCTCATGTGTACAAACATGTGGGTGCACTCTCTCAAAAATAAACATTAACAAATATTTTTTAACTCAATGTTAAACTGAAAACTCTTTTTTTTTTAATATTAGGTTTTTATTTTATTTTGACTTGGATCATAATATCCTTCCCCCTCCTTTTTTTTTTTTTTTTTACAAATAGTTTATTGTCAAATTAGTTTCCACATAACACCCAGTGCTCATCCCCACAAGTGCCCTCCTCCATGCCCATCCCTTCTCCCCCCGACATCCATCAGTCCTCAGTTTTTGTCAGCATTCAAGAGTCTCTCATGGTTTGCCTCTCTCCCTTTCCCCCACCATTTCCCCCCCTCTTCTCCCCCTTGGTCCTCCATCAAGTTCCTCCTAATCCTCCTATTCGTGCAAACATATGCTTTTTGTCCTTCTCTGCCTGACTTATTTCGCTCAGCATAACACCCTCAAGGTCCATCCATGTTGCTACACATGGCCAGATTTCACTGTTTCTCATTGCCATGTAGTATTCCATGGTATAGATGAACCACATCTTCTTGATCCATTCATCTGCTGATGGACACTTAGGCTCTTTCCATGTTTTGGCTATTGTGGAGAGTGCTGCTATGAACATTGGGGTACATGTGCTCCTATGCATCAGCATTTCTGTATCCCTTGGGTAAATTCCTAGCAGTGCTATTGCTGGGTCCTAGGGGAGTTCTATTGTTAGTTTCCTTAGGAACCTCCACACTGAACTGAAAACTACTCTTATGATCTAAGTTTTAGAAATGGCAAGAATTTAGGGCTCCTGAGTGGCTGTTAGTTGAATGTCTGACTCTTGATTCTGACTCAAGTCATGATCCCAGGGTTGTGGGCTCAAACCCCGTGTCGGGCTCCACACTAAGCATAGAGCCTGCTTAAGATATTCTCTCTCGCACTCCCTGTGCCCCTCTATTCCACTCAATCTAAAACTTTAAATGTAAAAAAAAAAAAAAAAAAAAAGAAAGAAGAATTTTTCAGTATCCCATTCACTTCCTTCCCAAGCAAAATTTTTAAACTGAAAATTTTATTTATATATATATATTATTTTTAAAATGTTTTTATTTTTGAAAGACAGTGTATGTGCCTGTGAGCGGGGGGAGGGGCAGAGAGAGAAAGAGGTACAGAGGACTCGAAGCGTGCTCTGTGCTGACAGTAGCAAGCCCCATGTGGGGCTTGAACTCACAAACTGTGGGATCATGACCTGAGCTGAATTCGATGCTCAACCAACTGAGCCACCCAGGCGGCGCCCCTATTTATTTACTTATTTTTAAACGTTTATTTGTTTTTCAGAATGAGTGAGCAGAGGAGGGGCAGAAGGAGAGGGAGACAGAGAATCCAAAGTGGGCTCTGCACATCAGTAGAGAGCCCAATGTGGGGCTCGAACTCATGAACCATGAGACAGATCATGCCCTGAGCTGAAGTTGGATGCTTAACTGACTGAGCCACCCAGGTGTCCCTAAACTGAAAGATTTTAAACTATAGGACTTGAGGTAGGGGGAGAGGGAAAATGAGGGGAAAGAGGGAAAGGAATGAAAATTTACAAATGATTCATGATCTTCACATATGAAACGCCCCTTCAGTTTCATCAGATGGAATTTATAATGTTTTGTAATAAAGTTATGAATACCAACGCCAAAAGTCAGAAATCAGATAATAAAGCCTTCTTGAAAAATGAGGAAAATTTTCTACCTTTGGTATCTTTTTCTGTGAATTGTTCATTACTTTTTCATACAGAGAATTTAAACAAATATAGGGCAGTATTTTAGTTTAAATTTTAACAATATGAAAAACAAAGCAAATCAAGACAAGTATTAGGCTCCAAAAGCACCTCTTGCTAGGGTAGTACTTTATCATGAAATTGCTGTAGATGAGCAAAAAATTACTAACTATATGAAATGGTAATATAAGCAAAAAGACAACTTGAGACAAAAATAAGACACAGAAGTTATTTCCATTCCCTCTGGATAAAATACACATCCACATGAAAGAAAATCTCACCATTGCAACATATTTTCCTTATTGAAACTGAAGTTCTCAGCCTGTGTTTGCAACAACACGGTTGCTGTGGAAATAGCTGATTCAACATTATGAACTTGCAGCTGAATAAAGTAAGGTGTGGAACAGAAATCTTATTTAAACAGTGGCAAGAACCATAAAACATTAAAAAGGCAAACTGAGTAACGGTGAATCAGCACCATATGGTTTAATGTAAGGGTCACACATTTTCCCTTTGGGCCTGACACAAATAGGATGTGTCTTTTTAATTTAGTCCTATTTTTGGAACCCTCTAATCATCTTCATCATCCCTCAAATGTCCTAAGTTTTACTATCTGCTTCTGTCTACACAACGCACTGTGTATTTTATGAAACTGACTCTGTTGAGGACAGTTTCTATTGTCCATACCTCACCAGAACATGCACAAGTTAGGCACAAACAAAACACAAGTCAGGGCTTTGACAAATTTCTGCCTGTAACTGATTCTATTAAATACAGCAGCACGGATTTCTTCATCACACAACATCACTTCAGGCTTAGTTTTCAAGACTCTTTACAAACTCCTCAAGAACAGAAGTTGTCAAGAGAATGTTACTGGGTGCCCAGGCCCACTTCACACCCTGTAGCCCAGCCTGCACCCCCATCACTGTTATCACATCTGGAATTTGTTCTTCCGCTTTTATGGGTCAGGTAAGAGCTCTCCAAGCAATCTTGAAAGACCTTATTAACACACTTTATATAGAAATGATGTGAATTATCTTAACCCTAAATATATGTTCCTACACGTACCCCTGCCCCCATCTTCCCTTTCTACTTTTAATCAGAGAAGCATAACTTTTCTTTAACTACACACACTTTACCAATATTTTCCTCTGCAGATGTTTCTGAGTCTTTCAAATTATAACATTTTGAAGCCAGAAATCTTATCCTTTGTAAAATAAAACATAATCAACAAATTTTAAAAATAATGGTTATGTGTGGGGCTATTAGGAAAAGGAAAAACAGCGACTCTTCCACCCTTAGGAGAGGATGCAGTGAATGGACTCTGTAAACAGAAACCCAGATTCCCTCCACAGCTGGCACTGCTGTGGTTGTGGCTGCCCTCCACGTGTGCACAGGAGATCGATTCATACCAGCAAAACCGGAAAAATCACAACTGAGAGCAACTGTGGAAGCAGCGAGAGCCAAGAGCAGGATGTAAAGGAGTCTGCCTTTCTGCTAGGTGAGTCACAGGAAACTCTCCTGCCAGAGTCAGGAGAGTTAAGAATGTAGGTCAAAGCTCCCTAGGTTTCATGCTCCAGGGATCCAAGGGAAAGGGCTAGGGCCCTCTAAGTTATTTCCAATTCCTAGGGAGTGGGGAGGCCAGCCACTGGCCTTGGCCTGCCCTCTAACTAAGGCTCCACTTCCAGCAGACCACAGCAAACTCAATCATTCCAGAAGTGAACACCACACTGGAGTGCTGCGCTAGCTCGTCCTACTACTCTGGATTTGGGCCACCTCGTGTGCTCTTCTGAGGGCTCACAGGATGAAAGGCCCTGGAACCAGCTCAAATTGTGTTTGTACATAATGGACGAACAGCTCACCCAGCTCTGTTGACACAGGGGACCCAGTGGCAATCTCACCGATCTTGGCCACTCCGTCGTAGTAGGCTTTTCCTGCAAGGATCATAGCTAGACAGGGAAAGTGACACACAAAAAACATCAATTACACAAGGAAAAGAGGAAGTACTGTGGAGGTTTGCTTCCAAATATCCCTCAGTCCCTTGTGGCTGCAGGAAGGTTTGGGCTGTGCGAAGGGCAGCTCTCGGAGGGCAGGGCTTGTCCCTGATAGCTGGGACGTCCCTCCACTGCACTTTCGGAGGCTCCCACCCAGTGGGAAGCCCCACAGGATCCTCACCTTGGACCAGTCCTGGGGAATCTTCAGCAGCAGGCACTGCAAGTCCAGAAAAGGCCCTGCCTTCTGATGCCAGTTCCAGAGAGGTGTGTTTTCCAACATGAAATTAGGGCTGGAAACACAGCCATTCCAGCAAGAGAGCTTTTCTCAGCTGGTTATTCTACAGCCACACAGGTCTGCAACACTATTAGTTGAAAGAATTTGTACAGGGTGGCCCAGGAATCTGGTCTTTGAATGGCATTTTTACTTTCTCTATTGAAAAAGTTATTCTGAGCCACAAACAATAATATACTTGTTGTTGGGGGGGGGAAATCTATGATATTTTAAATACATTATCACTCCAAAAACACAACAGAATTGTCTGAAAAATAACTGAATGTTCTATTCTCCCCATACTACTTTTTTGGCAGAAACAAGGAAAGCTTCTACTGCTATATCAATTGGATTCTAATTCTCTTAAAAATAATATTTCTCCTTTCAAACTGACTCTGAAGACTAAATTATAAGGTGCAGAAACCCGTTTTTTATTTTTCTTTTTCTTTCCTTTTTTTTTTTTTTTCCTTTGGGAAGGGGAGTCAAAGGCAAGACAGACCTGGGTCTGAATTTTGCCTTTACTTCTAATGACATGACCTCCCCAAGCAAGGTTGCTATCATTTCTGAAACAAAAGATGGTCATCTATAAAATGCCCTAAGAGCACGAGCATGGAAGCTAATAGGGATTCCTTCTTTCAGTTTCCAACAAGCTAGGTTTGGGAAGACTGATGATGTACAACAAGCAAGCTTTTTAACAACACCTAGCCTATTTAGTGTGGTTTTGAAGAAAATAATTTATTTGCTTTATTCAAAGACTGACTTTGAAGAATACAAAATTTTAGAACTAAAAGAGCCCTTAGGAATCTCTAAGATTCTTTTCCTTTTACTGTGAAGAAAACCAGTGGCCATACCAAGTGCTTTGCCCCAATTTATAAGGGTTGCTGTTTTAAAACAGTGGATTAAAAAAGACATCTCAAGTATAAAAAGGGGGGAGGCAAAAGGGGGGTATCTCAGAACAAATTATGTACAAGTCTGGCTGAGGCTATTACTGGCCAAAAAAGTAGTATTTTCATGGCAAATTCATCTATTTTAGTATTTCTTGTAGAGTTGAAAAAAATTGTAAAAGTTACGGTTTCTAGTATATATGTATACAAGTTTAAGAAATGTAACGTTCTATTATACAGTTGTTTCATAAGACTGAGGATAATCTTAAAGTATAATGTAAAAACAAACAATAACAAGTAGCATTAATGTGGACTTTCCACACCTACTTAAGTTCACCTATCCAAGAATATTAAGACATGGGTCAGTGATGTTATCACCCTGTTGAAGGAGAGTGGAGTGGAGATATGCTGGGACGTGCTCAAGGTCAATGGCAAATCAGAGGCAGTGCACGTAACTCCAGCTAAGGTAATTTACTTGCTCAGTTCTAAATTGCTGTGTTTTTCAACTCTTTGGTCTCAGCTAGAACTGAAAAAGAGAGCACTCTACCTAAAAACAAGGTTTATAGTCAATAAACTGGCAAGTTAATAGACGCAGTATTTAATAAGAAGATTTTAAATTGTAAGATGTTGATAAGCTGAAAAGCAGATCAGTGGGAAAATGGCATACAGTTTTACACAATATATAAACAAAATTTTCAGTTGGCACCCACACATGAAATTGAAATTTTTTGTTAACTGTTGACTTATGTTTAAAACAATTTAGCCTCAGAATGGTAAAATATTCTTGCTTTTATAATAAAGTTGAATTAGCTTTAAAAACTATATAATTTATCCAGAACTTAATAAAAAATACTATTCTCATAATTTTGACATCCTCCCTTTGTGGATACATTAAGGGATTTTCTATCACTTGTTTTAAGGAACGGAGGCGTATTTGTCCTATTTTAGTGGTTGACCAACTACTTCATCAATCTAATCTGCAAATTGCTACCAGAAAATTATGATTTTAAAATATGATTTCATTAGGTTACAGTTATGCTCAAGAACCTTCAAGGCTTCCACTGCCCATAGTTTAAGCCCACACTCCACTGAAGTTCATGATAGATTTATATAGTAATGGCCTTGGATAAACCACACCTCCAAGAATTCCCAACCTTTGCAGTCCCCTATACATTGATTTGGGGGGGGGAGGGTCATGTGACTTGCTTTGGCCAACAGGGTACCAGCAAGCATGACTTCCACAGGGGTTTGCACTCTGGGAACAGCCTGCTATGCCGGCAGGAGGGAGCCCAGGCTCCCAGACTGAGCCGAGCACCAGGGGTCCAGAGAACTGCACTGCCTTTACAGGACTTTGAGAAATAAAACTATTGTTGTCTTAAGCCACTAAGTTTAGAGATACCTTGTCATGTGGCAATAGATAACTGATGCTGCGTTCACATGCATTAATAATATGACCCCATTCTACCTTGTATTTTACTGTTCCCCAACAGCTTCTCACCCATGACAGTCTAGACCTCAGATCTTCACTTGGACGTGTCTTTTCTGCCCAAAACCTAACATCTGTCAGCTTGCACAGCTCCCACAAGGCCTCTCGCCTGCTCCGTTCCCCAACAAGCTCACTGCTCAAATTCCCATGACACTGCTCTTTGTTAACTGAATGTTGCCTGACTTATGACCTAAGTGCTGAATGCACATCTGGCATCCTCAACTATACTACAGTCCCTGATATACTTCTTATCAGGGACTTTACAAATTTATCTCAATTTCTCAATGGCTTCAGTAAAAAACAGATGGCTTGCAGAAATTCTGGAAATATTTTAAAAGTGCAGAATAGTCCCTTTGGGGAGAAGCCTTGTTTAGGAGGAGACCTAGCTGCTGGCAGTTCCCTGAGTCACCTTGTAAAACTCTGCCTCAGAGAGGCACCAAGTGCAAGAAGAAAAAAAAAAAAAAAATCACAGGTCATCATGACTTCCTTCACAGGGACATCTAAAACAATGACTTTGTGGCCTTGTGACTAAGCAGTCATTGAGGGAGAGTCAGCTGTGCAAGAACTCTAAAACCAGTCTCCTGCTCTTTGAAATGGGAGGTGACGGATCGCTTGGGGGGTGAGAGATGATTTCCCAACAGTGATAATGTCCCAACAGCACAGAGACCCAGAAGAAAGTAACTATGTAGTTTACTTTTCCATGACTATGACAACTGGGCACCTGTCATCCAAAGTCTAGCTACCATACCCCTTTTCCTGGGGCATGCCTATGCTGAGGGTGTATGAGGTTACAGGCTTATTTTCAAAACCTCAAGTGGGAGTAGCTGAAGGTATGGCATGGTGAAAGAGGGGAAAAAAAGAAATCATAAAAGACCCAGAACTTGATTTGAAGTTTTCTTCAAATCTAAAACCATCGGAAACTAAAATTTCAACTCATATTACAAGGTGGTTTTTGTGAACCAGGGTAGAGGGTAAAAATGGGGTCTGAATATTTTGGGGGTGACACTTGTTACAAAAGGAGAATTATTGTGCCTGTGTTAAAAATCTGGTGATTATTAGCATTTCAAGTTTTTAAGGTGATCATTGATAACATTCACCTCTTAGTGAGCAAATGCACATGCAGATGCATGTCAACTTTCTCCAATGAAACCTCTTGAAACTAGCAAAGAACTCTGGTTCACAGAGACAGACAAAAGCCAACACTTGAATTCATTTTAAAAGGAGCACTGGTTTTGAAATGAAAATTTTAAGTTCAGCCTTTAACTTTGATGTTTTTCCATTCAGGCTAAAACTTTTCTCATATCACTATCAAAAGTTATATACCCAAAGGCAAGAAATTATTCTACATAAATAAAAAGAGAATAATTCCTCTGTTGCAAGACACTAACAAATATTTTAAGTACACATTTCATATATGTTATTAATTCACAAAGAATTTGGTTTGCAAAGTAGAAAACATGTTTATGACAAGGATATAAAAGAATGAGTCATGTCAAATACCATGATTTGTTAACTAAAATGTATCACTTATAATAGACAATGATTTCATTTATTCATTTCAAATACACCAATATCGTATCATTGCAAGCTTCCACAAAATTAAATATTTTTAACGACTTAAAGATATTTCAAAAGTTCACTATTAAGCACGTAAAAATAATTAAGTAAAATATTTGCTTAATGGTTTTTATATGCTTACTATATCTATAAATTTAGAAAACAGACTTACCATTAACAGCTTTTTCATAATTTTTTCCTAGGTTTATTAAATTTCGTAGCCCAGGATTGAACTGTTCCATAACATTCTGACAAACAAACAAACAAACAAATGAATAAAATAAGCAAACAGTAGATCAAGTAATCTTTGTATTTTGTCAATGCATAGCCTCGGATACCTATGTGTGCTTCATAGTACAGTCTACAAAGCTATGAATGTTTATTTTAAAATAATGAAGAGCACATACTTGCTTATGGATAGAACAGGGCCCTCGCACTGACAAGGCACATGTGATCCTGGCGACTTCCCAGTTGCCCAAGGGCTGCCTATAACTTACTATAAATGGAGCAAGTAGCAGACATGCATACCTACAAAGCATACCCCACAGGAGCTAGAGGCCCAGAAGCTGATGCTCCCTGTGGGGTGTAGGTAGGTTAATGGCTGTCAGGCTAATGTTAAAAACAGGTGTGCATGATCAGAACTTAGTTACATGAGCAATGTTTTGGTTATCAATTGAACAGACATTTCTTAATTTTTTTTTTTAACGTTTATTTATTTTTGAGAGAGACAGAAAGAGCATGAGCAGGGGAGAGGCAGAGAGAGAGAGGGGAGACACAGAATCTGAAGCAGGCTTCAGGCTGAGCTGTCAGCACAGAGCCTGACATGGGGCTCGAACCCACAAACCATGAGATCATGACATGAACCAAAGTCGGATACCTAACTGCCTGAGCCACCCAGGCGCCCCTGAACAAGAGATCTTGTTTTTACTATGCTTAATTACCAGGAGTGGGTATGAGAGTGGGTGTTGCTGATGGCCCTAGGGCACAGGCCAGTCTGCGACCTTCTGTCCAGGAGGTCACTGGCATTTTTTTCTAGTAATCAGTTTATTCATTAAGTACTTATGGAGTAACCACTGAGCGGTAGGTCCTGTGCACACAGTAGATGGAAAGATATGGTTTCCCTCTCATGGATTTCATGATGCCATATCTCTGCAAATGTCATGGTTTTCATTTTTAAAAATGTTATTCTTACAGCACTAGAAAGTCATAAACATAGAGACAAATGCTATAAGTATAAGACAGGCATTTCTTTGGAATGTTGTTCTCAACTTCAAATATCCTATATCTGACGTCAGACAATAGATCATTCCTATAGGATGTGGACTTCCTAAGTGACACATGGTGACTGAATGTATGTGTTCCACCTACAAATAATGAGCTTCACAGCATTAACCATTCTAGGTGGACCATGCAAGTCTCCTTATCTCCTCTCCCAAAATGTCAACCCTGTTTGTAGAAGAGTAGGCAATAAAAAGAATGAAAAAACACAACATTCAAAGGTGCAGATACTTGATACACATGCTCTGCAGGATAAAAGGTTCTCCTTTATATATCAGTACAGAGAGAACATAGTAACTTTTATTTTATCAAACAGTGATAAAGGCTTAGCCGGAAAAACAATTCTTCGCTCAACCTTTCCCCAAACCTCAACTTACTCCTAAGAGTACTTTCAACTAAGCTGTTATTCTTATATTCATTGCCATAGTTTTGGATATTTTTTTTTATTAGTATATTGTCAAATTAATTTCCACATAACACCCAGTGCTCATCCCCACAAGAGCCCTCCTCCATGCCCATCCCCCTCCCCCCATCCATCAGTCCTCAGTTTTTGTCAGCATTCAAGAGTCTCTCATAGTTTGCCTCTCTCCCTTCCCCCACCATTTTCCCCCTTCTTCTCCCCCTTGTTCCTCCGTCAAGTTCCTCCTAATCATCCTATACGTGCAAACATATGGTATTTGTCCTTCTCTGCCTGACTTATTTCGCTCAGCATAACACCCTCAAGGTCCATCCATGTTGCTACACATGGCCAGATTTCATTGTTTCTCATTGCCATGTAGTATTCCATGGTATAGATGAACCACATCTTCTTGATCCATTCGTCCGTTGATGGACACTTAGGCTCTTTCCATGTTTTAGCTATTGTGGAGAGTGCTGCTATGAACATTGGGGTACATGTGCTCCTATGCATCAGCATTTCTGTATCCCTTGGGTAAATTCCTAGTAGTGCTATTACAGGGTCATAGGGGAGTTCTACTGTTAGTTTCCTGAGGAACCTCCACACTGTTTTCCAGAGGGGCTGTACCAGTTTACATTCTCATTGGATAATATTCTTGATTTCTCAATTTTGGACAATAATGACTGGCTTTCTACTACACTAGATGAGAGCACAGCTCTCCATACCACCCCACTTTTTCCCTTCCCCCATCCTTCTCATATAATTGAATGACAATTTCCTGGTAAGTTGATAGTCAGGTTTTATTACGACTTTGTAAATATCGGTCACTACAATGCAAGGAACGTACAAAGGATTATGTTCCTTTCTTGGTACAGTCTTTGTTTCTCCTGGGATTAACGATCATCTCATCACCAATCCCCCTGGCTTAGTTTTCCATGAATCTACCTTAAATTTTTCCATATGCCCCATCCCATCTAGCAGAAGTCTATCAGTATTATTTTTCAAATCCACAAAGTTGTCAGCTAATCTTCCATTCCATTCTTCCCCTGAACTTCCTACAAGGACTCTCCATCCTCTTGCTCAGTCTGGCCTGACTGTCCCTGCCACGCTGCTACCCTTGCATGTCCCTTTCTGATCCCCTGTGTTAGAGCTCTCATTAACTGGACTCCACACCTTCCTCTTTCTTCATTTATTCCCATTTGCTGAAGATCATTCTCCAAGAACAACCTAAGAAATGATGCATGAGAGGTAAATTTGAGTCACCATGTGTCTGAAATTATCTTTACCTTGACATTTGATTGATATTTTGCTGGCTAGAGTATTACAGAGCAAAAGTGATTTTCCTTTAGAATTTTAAAGATACTCCTCCACAATTTTTAACATCCAGTTTTGTTATTTAGAAGTCACCCGTCATTTCTTCTTCCTTTGTATGGGACATGGTTGAGGGTGCTTATTTCTGGAAGCCGTCTCTTTATTCCTGTGCACTACATAATGGTCTTAATATGGGTACTTATTTATTTTACTGAGCACTCAGTAGACCCTATCCATATAGAAAATTATGTCCATTAGGTCTGAAAAATGTTCCTGTTTTGTTTTTTGTCTCTCCCTACTTTCTGGAATTCTTATGAGGATTTTATACACCCTGAATTTATTATCATTTTATGGTTTTCTTTGATTTTCCAATTTTTGTTCACCCATCTCTGACAAATATCAACTTCACATTCCAAGTCTTCCATTATGTTTTTAAAACTTCTGATATATTTTTAATTTGGATTCTTTTCAGGTTCTTTGATTATTCCTTTTTAAAAGCATCCAGTTCTTGTTTTGTGAATGCAGTATCTCTCTAATCTGAGTAAGTCGTAATTTTTTTGTTATTTTCTTCCAGTTCCCCATATTATCTAATTATTTATTTTCACTGTTTAGCATTCCATCTGTCTTTTGTGTTGGAGGCTTTCCTCAAACATCTGGCAATCCCTGGTAGCCAGTTCATTATTTGAGAGTAAAGCTTTAAAATGCTGGCTGGAAGCTTGTGGGTGTGGATGTGTACACAGGGTTGTTGACTAGCAGGCTTCATTCAGAGTAACTAGACAAGTCAGCTATAGACAAACTGGCCATGTGACAGTAATGAGGGTTCACTGAGTTTCTCCAGAGAAGTTTCTCATTTCCTATCAAGAGATATGGGAAGAGGCAATGGCCAGGTGGTTGGCTTTCCCCACCCATCAGGAAGGGGACTGGGCTTGGAATTCCACAGTTTACTCAGTTGATTTTTACTGAATTCCCTGCTCTCTAAGGTTTATTCCCCCCAACTTCTGCTGTTATTTCCAGGTTGAGAGCTCCTATGATTCAGTATGTCCTGAGATTAAATCTCGAGTCTGCCAGGCAGAGAGCTTCTGATAGTAGTGGTGGTTGGGGTAGGAAAAAAAACCTGTCAGTTCAACTACCCTGTGGATCTCCTTTTCTGGCCCTGGGCGTCCCACCCACCCCCATCTTCTGTGACCTGCTCCCCAGCCTCTCAGCTTCTCTGAGGTAAATGGCTCAGCTCTCATCAGTACTCCCACCGCAGAGTCTTTAGGTTTTCTTAAGGCAGCTACCACTCCTCTGTCCATTTTCTATCACCCCAAAATTTTTAGGCTGTTTGTCAACAATATATGGGTCTCCCCCTTTCCTCTCCTCTTTTTCTTTACTTCCTTCATTTGCTATCATTTCAACGTATGGTTAGAAGAAAAACCTTATGGCCAATTTGTTGTGCTTAACTGGGAGTCTACTCAACCTTGTGTTACTGGAGCCAGTCAGTCACCTGTCTGAGCCTCATTTACAACCAGCAGTCATAAAGCTCCAAAGCCAATGATGACTCCCATATCAGTCTCTCTGAAAGATGGTAAGTCTCAATACCTGATCACAGGGACCAAAAGCCATAGCTGCTATTTCTATCCTCTTTTCTCAATTTCTGTGTTTTGTTTTTAGGCTTATTTTAAAACTGTTTAAGATTCACAAGAAACTGTAAAAACTGTACTGAAAGTTTTCACGTATGCTTCCCCCAACAGTAACTTATATAACCATGGTACATTATCAAAACCAGGAAACTGATATTGGTACAACACTTAACAACAGACTTCATTCGTATTTACCAGTTTTTAAAATAATCTTCTTTTTTAAAAATGTTTTTATTTTTTATTTATTTTGAGAGAGCAGGAATCCATGAGCGGGCACAGTGCAGAAAGAAGGGAAGAGAATCCCAAGCAGGCTCTGCACTGCCAGTGCACAGCCTGATGTGGGGCTCGATCTCATGAACCATGAGATCATAACCTGAGCAGAAATCAAGAGTGCAACGCTTAACCAGCTGAGTCACCCAGGCACCCCTGTATTTACCAGTTTTTATATCACTCGTTTTGATGGGGAAGAGTGCATTATTTTTATGAAATCTTATGACATGTATAGATTTGTATGACCATCACCACAGTTACAATACAGAACCATCCCATTAACACAGTGATCTCTCTTATGCTACCCCTTTATAGTCACACTCTCCCCACCATTATAGTGATCTCAATCACTGTAATTTTGTCATTGTGA